CACAGGGAAGCCGCAGCAAATGCATCGCCAGCTTTTCAAGGCCAGGAGCAGAGCACTGAACTCTCGGGTGCAGACAATGAGCCACAGCATGCCATGAGGAAGCACAAAAGTTATGCGAAAATCGACAGCTATGATCGAGAGAAGTTGCTGCATCTTGCGGAGCGTCTCATCGACGAGACAGGGTCACTGCGTCATGAACTGCGAGTGGTGAATGCGGAAACCGAAACGCTCCGGGCAAGAAACATTCAACTGGACAAGGAGAACGCCATGAAGTCCGCCACAATTGGGAGCATGAGAGCGGACCTAAAGCGCCGTTGCGTTCAGATGGAAAAGATGACGAAGGAGGACACCATGAAAGAGGCGACAATTGAGAACCAGAGGCATCGTCTCAAGAGTCTCCGCGAGAAGAATAAGAAGCTCGGGACTGAGGTCAACGAGCGCACAGAGCTGGCCACTCTCAACGAGCAGCTTGAGGCTGGGAGAGCCACTCTGATTGAGCGACAAGAGGATCTCACAGGCGAACGAGACGCTCTCATTGAACGCAAACAATCTCTTGCGGACAGCAATGCTGATCTTGAGGCGAAGATGGCGAAGATGGAGCGAAAGAAGGCGCGCATGGACAGCAAGTTCAGTAGACTCAACGCCAAGCTCCAGTCCCAAAGTGAACACATCGAAACACTGACGACGGCAAATGACGAAGTCAGAGAAACGGTCGAAGAGATGAACGAATCAACGGCAAAGCTTGAGAGCGAAAAGGCGGAGGCAATCAAGGTCAGCGAAGGACTCGAGAAGCAGCTCACAGAACTCTATACCAAGCTCCATCAGAGTCACACCAAGGTCGAGCAGCTGCAGCGCGACATTGAATTGGAAGTTGTACACAAGGGACGCACCCAAGCTGCTCTCAACAAAGCCCAACAGGATCTACAGCATCGCTCTACAGCGCAGTTTAACAGGATCCAGCAGCTCGAGAGGGACGTCAGTGACAAGCACGCCTTTACCCAAAGTCTTCAGAGCGAAATCTTGTGCCTTCAACAGCGCTCGCAGGGTGCCCAGCACAGCCCGCGCCATGGCTACGGAGCTCATCGCGAGCCACTTGTATCCGCACGCGAACTACAGTATCAGCGGGAGATCTCCCGCCAAGCCAACCAGAAAGCAAGCGACATGGAGAGCAAGCTTGAAGCGATGAAGCTGGCCATGGAAGCTATGAAATCCGAGGTGCAAACCGAGAAGGCGGAGTTGAACACCCAAAAGGCAGAGACGGATGCGAAGAAGGCCGAGGTAGAGGCGCTGGCGAAGAAGTGCGCCGAGAGAATGAATGCCGCTAATGCAAAGGAGTCGTACACGATGAGCTTGGAGAAGCAGCTGGAGGAGATGAGAGGCAACATGGAGGGCATTCTCGGACGCGTATCGGTCTATCAGGGCAAGAAGCGTCGCAGAACGGAGGGACCAGATTTTCAGCTGTGAGGATGTTTGGACTTGCTTGGAAGTTGGTCTTGTATTTGAACCTCGGGGTTTGAGCTTGCTGAAGAGGATCAGGTACCAGGATATTTCCTAGAGCCGTGATTTGGGTGGACTTGGACTCTTTTTCGCAGGATTTGCGGCACTGTAGGATAATTCAGACTTGGAACAATGGTAAACAGACCTGGGGAATAGCCCCTTCCCTTACATGCAGAATCTTTCAGTACACCAGCTCCATGCCCAGAAGGGTGAAGTCATATCAAGCTACCACAAGTCGAACCTTGAAAGTCATAGATATCTGGGCGAAGGAGCTGGTAATGCTTCTTGTTCGACATTCAGCTCGGTAAGCGTGGATCCTGCGAACCTGATTTGGGCCTCGTTTCTGGCTAAATGACTTCCTAGATACTTGCCTGTGGAAGTCTCGCCAATTTTTTTCCATGTCCAGATGCTTCAGAGAATAGCAAGTGTGATCTCCCCTGTGTAGATGTCCCCCTCATTAGCCGTCCTGATGGCGAAGAGCAATCATGACGACATCGTCCACGGTGTCAAGTGCTTGCGTTTGGTGTTGTCTCTTAGAAAGGACCGTTGAAGGCCGTTGATGAAGTGGTCAGGAAGGTGAGTAGGGACCAAAGAAAGTCGAATGTGCTGAGGAGGCATCCTTGGTGCAGGCGCAAGTACTTCGATGGAAAGCGAGACCGAGTCCCTGGGTTCTTTGGAGGACCCCGCGGTTTCTATGCCTTCTGGACTTTGTCTGTCTAGTCCTGAGGTCAGCCGGGAACGCAGAATATAAGAGTGTACCAAGATCTCCAGTGATGGCAGACGTATCATCAAGGCTTCAGACATTATGAGGGGTCGATGGGGAGCGAAAGGGTATTCGTCTTTTTTATTTCTCCCGTGCATAGAGCAGCCATCGCTCCTTCCCACTCGCTTTCTCACAACACTACCAGAGTAGTTTTTTCCGACTCCTCCTTGGGAGCCTCTGCCTGATTCTTCTTTGCACCTCCCATCTCAAACCTTCCTCACTTCGCCGTATTGTGAGGGCATTCGGAATTTTCAGCGCCACTGCCGGTTCTTGCTTCACTTTCCCCCATCACCTACCTCTCGATTGCGTAGACGTCTATTGCATCTTTGTACCTTGTACAAGGGCGAGCACGATCCGGTCCCTCTACTTCTTCTTTCGTTTTCATCACCAAGCTTTCCCGCCTCCTTGGCTCCGGCCTCGCCTCGTGATACAAACCTCCATCCCCGACGTATTCAGCTGGCAATAAATCCACGTCACTGAAGAGTGTGTGGAGAGAAGCACGATCGAGGATCTAATGAAATCAATCGAAGCAAATACCAAGCAACAGTCGGCTTTCATGCTTGAGATCCGCAACATTCTGAAGGAACTCTCCCACCAACAAGATATGATGAACAACCGACTGGAAACAATGACTGGGAAGATCGATGTCCTTGTAAAGGCTTCTCAAGAATCATTTTGGAACCGTAAACTGGCCTAGATGGCCTCGGCTCTGAGAGTGGGTTTTTCTTATCTTATTTTAAGCATCTTGCTAACATCTCTTTCAGGTATTCATCTCAGCGGGGGGGTTGTCATGGCTGATGGCGCGTATCCGCCCACCGAGTCCCGATGATGACTTTACGCGTATGACCTGAGCAGCACAGCAGCAAAGAGTTATGGCAGTTGAAGTAGGCATTCTCGGGGTAGCAAGACACCGTTTCAAGTAGCGGTTATAATAAATCCATCTCGTACCCAATGCACGAACTGCAATACCAAACACCCTAAACGCCATCCGACCATGCACCTAAGCAATGCAAAGAATTCTCCCAAAACACCTCCCAATATCAACCTAAACAGAAGCCTCAACCCTTTGCGGTCCCTCCTCCTTCTCCGTCTTGCCCTCAGAGACCTTCATCCCCTCCACCCCCGCCGAGATCCCGGTAAACGGACAGACCCCTCCACTGCCAGGACTATTCGGCCTCCTCGTAGGTAACCTGCTAGGCGACTTTGGCCCATTGCCACCAGGAACCCCATTCACAGCAGTCTCCTCATCACTCTCGCTCTCCAGAATCTTCTTCCCGTGAAGATACCCTTCCTCCTCAATCTCGATCCCCTCCCCATCCTCGTCGCCGTCGCGCTGGAACTCTGCGCCGTCTTTGCAGTGCCATTTCGCCATGAGGTCGTTCTGAATCCAGATGACTTTTCCCAGGGCTTTGACGAGGGCGATTTTCTTCTGCATGACCATGCGCGGGTGGGAGAGGATGGCTTCGGTCATGATGTCTTGGATGAAGGAGAGGCAGGCGCCGAGGTGGATGTATTCCACGTTGAGGGGGTGTTTGCGGCCTAGGCCTACGTGCATCATTCTGTTGTGTCGTTAGTTATTGGTCGTTCCTCTTCATTGTATCCTCTTGACGTTTCGACGAGTTCATCCAGTCTTGGGGGATGAAAGAGAGACTGAAACAACATACCCAACCTTGTCGAGATACTCCCAAAACTCCATCTTGCTCGGATCAGAGCACAGCTTCGCCAGATACGCCCTGAGAAACATCTTGCGGTGGAGAATCTGCGGCGAGTTGTCGTCGGGGACCTCGTCCATGGGGCCCTCGAAGGAGGTGGAGCGGGTGGTGAAGGCGCGGGCGGTGATGTCGTACTGCAGCAGCTTGTGGTAGACGATGTTGACGACGGCGGGGATGAGGGCCTTGACGTATTTCGCGCCGTGGATGAGGGCCTCGATGTCTTCTGTAAGTGGGGTTGGTCAGTACGTGCATCTCAGCAAGGTCAAGTTGATCGAGAGGAGAAAGGCGCACTGCTGCTAAAGTCGAGAAAGCTATGGAGGTAGCGGATGCGGGCCTCGAGGTCTGTGTAGAGTTCCTCGCGGTCGATGTGGTTCATGTGCCTCATGAGACCCATCTTGGCGGTTTCTTCGCTATTGAAGGGAAGAGACTTGTGGTGTTCTTGGTCGTGGTGTTTGAAGATTCCCCAATGCTAGTCGAATCCCTCGGAAGTATCCCTAGAAACCCCTTTCGGTGGAAATATACAGATCTTTAGCCTGGTGCAGGTCGTCTTGTCGATTTGGTAATACTCGAATCGTGAATGGTTCTCCTCAATAGTCCACTTCAACTCTCTTCAAACGCGTCAGAAAAAGGGGACCCCGCGATATTTGAATAAGACGGAAAAGGGTCCCCATCTAACCGGTCATTAACGGGACGACATTCCTTCGCAAGACTCCAACCATTGTCCCTGCGTCATCATGCGCCGAGAAGAATTCAATGACCTGATCTCTCATTGACTTGCAAAGATGCGTGGTCCAGTCCCTATCGTCGGGCAGAGGGCCAACCGGCCGATGGTGGTCTGATGTTCTGGTTCGTGCCAAAGTCGCACCACTTTCTGGTCTACCCTGACGGGTGCCGACCAGGGGAGCTGGGCAGAGCTGAGCAGAGCGCCGTAGAGCCAGGCTGGCGGGCGGGATCCACCGCGGGTGAATTTAGCGGGGTGGATGTGTAGGGCGATCCGCCGCAGGACGCCGGTGCGACCGTGTGATTCTTCAGTTCTTGGGAATTCTGAGGCTGGCAGGCTGCCCCGGCGGGACCGAGAACTCCCGCGATGCAAGGGTCCGCCGCTCTTGTTTTCGCATCGACTGATTCTTGTCGGGTTGGTCAGATGGGAAAATCTGGGCCTGCTGCGGTTGGTCGGGACTGGGACGCGCGAGTGGATCTGTCTTCAAATTTTGATGGTTACTGGTTAGTCAGTCAGGTTGGGTGGCAGCTGGTTCCTGGATTGTTTTCTGGGGAAAATGGGACGAAAGATTACCGGTGACATGCGCGTTTCCTCTCATTCCGAGATCGCCATTGCACCTGTCAACCCATCAGCCCGTGATGGCAGGTTCCTAAGTCAAGGGCCCAGAAGAATAAGGAATGCGATTTGATTCAGTTGCTTAGGTTTCAGGGCTGCTGTTGTTCGCCAGTGTTTCCGCCAAGCATGAAAGACTTTGAACGTACATTTTTTCGTCCGCTCCCTGTCTTGTTTCCTTCTTCAGGGTCCAGTTTGGTGTTCATTTTTGTTCCGGCGTGTCGTTATCATAAACATCTCGTCCAGCCGCGCGCATCATCCCAATCTGAAGCATGGCATCTCCCATCCTCCAGCATTACTTCTTCTCCTCATCCCCACCCTTCTTTTGCTCGTCCTTCCCCTCCGTCGAACTCCCACCACCACTCGCCTTCCCCTTCTCTCCACCCTGCCTCTGCGCCTGCCTAGCAGCATCAATCTCCATCGTCCTTCTTGACGCCTCTCGCTCTTCAGCAGAGACGTTCTGGCTCGCGGCCTTGGCCTTGAGCATGTGTGGCGGGATGAAGCCCATGGTCGGCCTCCGGGGTTTCAGTGTAGGTGGACGCGGTATGTTGGTGATATTATCACAGGGAATGTTGAGAGCTTGAATTGCGGCCTTTTCTTTTGAATAAGCTGAGGTTTTCGTGCCCCTGTGAGTTTGGGAATTTGATGCCTTCTTGGTTGGAAAATGTGTAGATGAGATGTCGTCGAGGGGAAGAGACGGCACGTTGCGACCGATGACGTAATAGGACAAAGGTGACGGAAGACGAATCGGCGCGGGGCACGGTAGGGACGTGACAGAGGGGTATCGCAGCTCAAGATCATTTGGCAAGCGCGAGTGTCCATGCCGGTGCCTCCTAGCACACGAGCGGCTGCTTGGGTACTTCTCAGGTACTACCCCAAGAAAGCCGTGCAAGGGGTTTGCGAATGTTATGATACCGCAGTCTCACACCCGCCGGCAACATTCATTGTAAATATGCATGAAGTGTGACCTGTACGTGAAGTCAGGTTGTGCCTATAGACAGCCAGCCAACTCGATTCGGTAAGCTGGCTGGTGGGATCATAGCTAGAGCTCCCGTCGTGAGGGTTGCATCGGTCCCATTTCCGGGGTCCCAACGTCTGGCCTCTTGAGATCCTACACGTTTACGTTAGCCGATACAACCGTTCACCCTCAATCAGACTACAAAGAAAGGCCCTGGAGAAACTCGACGTGCTTACTCAAGTAGTCAAGATTATCGTCACATTGCTGTCCTGAGCAGCCATAGTGTCTAGGTATCTACCATAGTCCCTATATACGGAACCCATCTACCCGCACGCCCAGACACAAAATCAAAGTAACCTCCCAAAGCCACGCTTTCCCAGGAACACCTCAAGCCTCGACAGAAATAGTCCCATCCGTCCCAGGCCTAGGCGCGCCCGTCGACGCCCTCCCCATAAACCCGCCCGAAACGAGGTTCAGCGCCTTGGAGAATGGATCCCCGCCGGCCTTGGTCGCCGCCGGCAACCCGGCTTTGTCAAACGCCTGCTCAAAGTCCTTCTTGATATCTTCGAACCCTTCGATGCCGACCGACACGCGGATGAGGTCCGGGGTGACGCCCCCTTTGATCTTCTCCTCGTCGGGGAGCTGCTGGTGCGTCGTCACCCAGGGGTGGATGATGAGCGTCTTTGCGTCGCCCACATTGGCTAGGTGCGAGCAGAGCTTGAGGTTGTCGACGACGGAGCGGACTTGTTCGATGTTTCCGGCCTGGATTCGGGATGGTTAGCGACTGCAGTTCAGCTGGGACTTGCTTTGTGGTCAACTTACAACGCCAAAGGTCAAGACACCACCCGCACCATTGGTAAACACCCTCTTGGTGTATTCGTAGTCGGGGTGTGACTTGAGGCCAGGGTATAGCACCCAGTTGACGCTAGGGTGTGCCTCGAGCCACTCGGCAAGCTTCTGCGTGTTCTCGGCGTGCCTCTCTCCTCTCAGAGCAAGTGTCTCCAGGCCCTGGAGCAGGAGCCATGCGTTGAAGGGACTCAGGCACGGTCCAAGATCACGCATGCTGTCCATCCGCAGCTTTGCCGAGAGCGCCTTGTACCCGTACGTCTCCCAGAACTTAAGCCCGTGGTATCCGTCCGCCGGCTCCGTGAACCCGGGGAACTTGCCCGACGCGCTCCAGTCAAAGTGGCCGCCGTCGATGACGATACCGCCCATGGATGTGCCGTGGCCGCCAATCCACTTTGTGGCAGAGTGTGTGACAATGTCGGCGCCCTGCTTGATGGGCTGGCAGAGGTACCCGCCCATGCCAAAGGTGTTGTCAACAATGAGGGGGATGCCGTGCTTGTGCGCCACGTCCGCAATGGCCTAGATATCCGGGACGCTGTGCTTCGGGTTGCTGATCGTCTCAATGTAGACGCATCGCGTGTTCTCGTCAATGGCGGCGTCAATGTCGGCGGGCTCGTTGCCGACGACCCACTTGACGTCGATTTTGAACTTCTTCATGTACACGCGGAACTGGTTGTACGTGCCACCGTACAGCCAGCTGGTGCTCACAAAGTTCTGGCCAGGCTCGCAGCAGTTGGTCAGGGCCATGAACTGCGCAGCGTGGCCTGACGCCGCGGCTACCGCACCTACGCCGCCCTCGAGCATCGCCATGCGCGTCTCGAAGACACTGTTGGTCGGATTGCCCATACGCGTGTAGACGTAGCCATCTTTGCTCCATGCGAACTTGCTGGCGCCATCTGTACTCCGACGTCAGTAGATGCATACATGTATTGCGTGATCGGTCCGAGGATGAAGCTACTGACCTGCGGCATCTGTAAAGTTGTAGGCGGCTGTTTGGTACAGAGGCACAGCTCGGGAGCCGTTGACTGGGTCGGGCTCTTGGCCGCCGTGAACTGCAAGCGTGGAGAAGCTTGGTTCCCTAGTTGGCCATTGTTGTTAGCTTCAAGTAGCAATGTGTATCAAGGCAAAGGCCGAACGGGCTTCTCACCAGTCCACGTTGCTAAGAGATCCGGACACAGGCATCTTGAAGGTGGTAAAAATATGTTTTGAGAGGGGTAGTAGTCTAATAGTTCGTTCCGGTTCCTGGTCCAACTCCGAATTCTCTGTTGAAAGCTGCCGTTTCAACTTTTTGTCGTCCCATCATGGCAAATGACAAAATCTTAAATGTTTCCTCAACGCCCTTGGAGCAAATGCATCACTTCGTTTCAGTCGTTCGATACCCCTCAGACGGGTGCACAGATTGCGGCTTGTTGCATGTCGGAGCTCTCTCGATCTCCGGTCTTTGCTGATAAGTGAGCAAACCCCGCAAAACCCCCCCTCCCCCCTTTTTCCCAGACGTTCCCGAGACTCCACCCAGAGGCCGTGTTCAGATCCCATATCGGGATGTCGTCAGATGCCGTTAGAAACAGAACAATGCGGGCGCCCGGCGAGATGCGAGGCACTAGGCAGTCTGCAGATAGACTGGGGATAAACTGGAGGCGAAATGCCGATCGGGCCATTACTGGACCGGTCCGTCAAACATCATGGTGGGTTCGATGACACTCCGAATTTGGTCTGCGGCATGACGTTAGCAACAACGAAAAAAGCAATGGGCCAAATGACAAGGGGCAAGCCAAGTCTGAAAATTTTGAGGGGTTTCCTTACCGCGCATCCCACCAAGTGCTTCAAACGCCGTGGCATAATTTTCCAGTGTCGCCGAGATAGAGGCCAACCCCGTCTGCAGTCGCATCAGGAGGCTTTCCACCATCGGAGTGGCTAGTGCGTTCTCCGGGTACATGGCCTTGGTCTTGTGATTGACCATAAGCAACGCGTACGCGCATTGCATAGCACAGCAAGCAAACGAGGGCATCGTCCTCGGACATACGATTGTTGATGTGGGGGCGAGATAGCAAGGAGCGGGGCAAAGCTGACCAAAGGGATTGGGATATGGCAGGTCATCAAAGGATTGTGAGATGTTGATGGCTGCTTTGAGACAGATTTTGGCCGACTGGTGACTGCTAAAGGGAAACGTCGCTGGCGATTGGCTGCTGGGCGAATGTTCCGAGTGAGGAGACTTCTTCCCCGGTGGCGTAGTCGATCCGTTTGATATGGCCACTGGTGGTGATGGCAAGCTCATCATGGAGCTGCAAGAGCATGATGGCCAGCTCCGTGGCTCCATGTTGGCATCGTTGTCGGCCTTGGACTTGAGATCGCAGTACTTGCCGGAAAAGACGGGCATGTCAAAGAAAGCGCAGTATCGGTGGAGTTTGATTCGTGCGCTGTTGGTCGTCAGCAATTGCACCTGATCTGGAAGGAGATGTAGATTCTTACCTGTTAAGTTTGATTCGAGCCATGCAGCGGAGGGAGCGGGACAAGACCTCCTCCGTAGGATCCAGTGGCGTCGTTGTGGTTGACTGAAGGATCCAAGAGTCGGCCATGGTGTTGAGGGGTTCGAGGTATGCCTCCATTTCCTTCATGCGCGCATAGATTCGTGCCATGTCACCACCGGACTTTACAGTCTTGTTTAGCTCGATGACAAATTGGGTTGCTGACAGGATCGCTTGCTGTGCCTGGATGTAGACGGCAAAAGCCTAGAGAATGGTCAGCATCCATCGTAGCTAATTCGTCATGATACATACCTCGGGATCCGACTGTATCACGGGGTATTTGGCAGTGTAGCTGGGGGTGAACACTGAGAATGTTGGTTCCTAGATGGCAAGTGAATATTTGCTCCTATTGCGTGACTACGAGGACTTACCGAGTTGCTGACAATCGATCCCTGACAAACGCAGATGTACTGTAATCATCGTCAGCAAGCTGTGTTGTGCAGCAGAGCAAGAGGAACGCACCGTCATCCACCAAACCCTCCGCCTCGCTTCTGAGAATGCATCCTCTTTGGCGCAAGTGTGGATGGACAAAGACATGGCAGCAACCAGGGCTTGGCCTGCTCGCGCCTGCATCTTCTTCAGATTGCCCCGTTGCGCATACTCATACACACTAAGGATATCCAAAGCGATTACACTCTCCAGCTCGATAGGCACGCCTGGGTGGAATTGCTGCCTGGGGAAGTCGTCTGGAGATTCGTTGAGCGCCTTGGGCGGCTCAATGGACGAATCCGGGATTTCTGACTCAATCTCGATGCTTTCGATGGCGCATTGTGCTAGGTATTGCGCATACCTCCGACGGAAGATTACTGACTCCTTGTTGAGATGGTTGGTATCGTTGTGATACGGGATCAAGGCGAGGATTGCAGAGATGGCCAGACTGATCGGCGTTGATGGCTGATATTCGTCTGCGAAGCCTTCCGTGTCATTTTGAAAGTGTGGAACAGCTTGATCCATAGGCAGGCCTGAAGGAGCAGGAAGAATAGGGAAGAAGGGGTGGATAAAGATGTAGTACGCATCGAGGCTGTTTGGTCGTCAATTCTGGCATTCTCTTGGAGATGCAGGAAAGGGATCTCTGCTCTTCTTACATGGCTTGGTCACTCTTGTACGTTCTGGCGACTGGGATTTGAGGCGTTGGAAAGGTAAATGAGTGTTCGGATGCGCTCTCGCCGCTGGTACTGCCAGGAACGCCCGACATGAAGAGAGTATCGAAGATGAAGTCGCTGTCTTGGAAGAAGTCCTGCAACTGCTTCAAGCCCGCGCCAGGGTCGATGTAGTTTTGAACAGAGATGGCTGTAGCATCGGTCAAGAGCTGCTCGGACGAGGATCCCAAGCGCAAAGACTCACGATCTTGATGAGTGACCTCGTCTGGAGGCATCTCGCCATTGAACGCCTGAACCTGCTGAGCCAGCTCTTCAGCCGGCCGCGGCTTTCGCCTCACGCGGGCGCCGCCTCTTCTGCTGGGCTTGAAGACGCAATCGCGCCCCCTACTTTTACACTACATCATGTCAGTCGCTCTTTCTCCTGCATGACTGGAGCAATGGGTCGAGCCGGAGACAGAGACTTACACTAGCACATGGGCTTGCTCCATCGCATCGTGTACGGGAAGCTCGACTATGTATTTGTGAGTAACAGATCCGAGATGCGTGCGTCTTGGTCAAAGTCGTCGGTCAAGACACGACCGCTACCTTGACCAATACTCCCTCTCGATGAGTAGTAGATGAGAAAGGCTTACCAGGCGAGACACGCAATCTTTACCGGGGGCGTAGCAAACTTCTTCTTAGCTGCGGAAGCCGGGCCAGGAGGTACAACGGCTTCTGTCATTGTGCTCATGACCGAATGTAACAATAAGGATATACGGACGAGATCAAGTGAGGTCAACTGCGTTGGTCGGAGAGAGACCGATGGCTACGGGAGGCAAAACTGAGGGAGACAAGAATCCTTCCGGGCGGATCGGGGATTGTCACACGGAGCGGGGGCGGAGTCGTCCGGGCTTGGGGCCTTGTTTGCGCGATCCACGGGTTAATAAGGTGTCTGGACTCGAGACGGCGCGCAGAAACGTCGGTATCGCGGGATTCGGTACGTAATAAGATGAAATGGCAGCGACACAGGGGGAAGCGCTGGGTGAGTCGAGGTGTGGATGACTGGATGTCTGCCACGGCCGGGCCGGAGAGTGAACTGGAGCTTCGAGGGTGTTGACAGTTGGACGGCAAAAACGGAGGGGGGAAGAAGAGGCGGCAGGTGGGAAGGTTGTCGCGGCCGGTGTCGCCAGCTGGCCAGGTGCAATTGCAGTCGTAGTTTCCTTTGCTGTTTGGTGATACCTACCCAAAAACCTCAGGTACGGTGTGCGGGTGGTCGCAGGCAGGTGCTGGGCTGCTGATGCAGGCAGGCGCTCAGGCGTAGGCAGGTGCAGATGCAGGTCGGCTTGGGTACGGTGCAAGTGCAGGCAGGAGCTGTTGCTGTTTCCCGTTGCTTCGTGCCTTTCCTTCTCAAGTCGGCGACAGAGGGGCAAAATGCGGCGACCGGGTGGGATTTGTAAGGAGAAGGCACGGCCGGCAGCAGTTTGACTGGACAGGGAAGGGTGGGGGAAGGCGACCTGCGGATCGTTCGATCGTGACAGGGCTAGGACGGCACGCTGCGACTTTTAATTTTCACAAGACCAGGCAAAGAGGCAGGGCTGTCTGGGATCATTGGGAATTGTGCATGTACTTTTTCTGTTTTGGTCCCTCTCTCGCTCGCTTCTGCCTTTCCCTCTCACGCCTCTGTATCCTTTCGAGTTCTTTCCTCCCATCCTTCCTCTCTCTCGGGAGTTGAGATGGAGAAGGTGCGTGGGTGTCACTGTCCCGGGGCGAAGGGCAGGGTGGGGAAGTCAGTGGAGAAAATTCCTGGATAGACGACAGAGTTGGCCAATCGCATTGGCTAGAAGCACCAAAGTCGTGATATACGTACCGAAGACCTGGCCCAATGAGAAAAACTTGCGCACAGTGTTGCAGCTGGCTGGGCCGGTCTTCGGACAGGGATCACGCACAGCAAACTTTCTCAAGTCGCACAGTACCATGTAGTCTCTCTCTCTACTCCGTAAGGTACCTCCTGTCTCTCACTCTCTGAGAGAAGGTGCCGTGGGTGCGTGGATGCTCATTGCTCTTGCCTTCCTAAGCAGCCAAATCACCCCCGTTCCTGACTTGACCTGACACAACCACACAACCCGACCGTCGCTCGCCTGGCATGGTGGCATTCACGCACGGAAGGTACCTACATTCGCCTCCTTAGGTGCATGGAACCTGCCGTTCCTTCCTGCTGCGGTCTCGCCGTCTGCTCGCCGTTGGCGCCGCGTCCCTAACACCCGACTTCAGAGCCCGAGCACACGACTTTTTGACGTCAATTCCGCATTTCTACAGAATACTCCGCAGCTCTTCTCTGTGTCCCCATCAAATGTCCGGATGGTCGCCTTTCCCTGTTCTAGAACTTCAAGCGGTTGTGGAAACAAATTGCAGCATGACTAGCAACCAAAATTATGCCAGCTATGCCACTGCCAGTTGTGCTAGCAGCACCGCAGGATTCCATTGAACCACAGCTCGGAACGTCTCGACATCACGTTTCGGTCTCCCTTCTCTCTTACTCAACCAAGAACAGAATTGATTAGTAGCTCTTCGTCAGCAT